AGGACCCCCTGCAGGCCCTTTCCTGTCTATCCCAGCTCTCCCACCCTGCACACCCTTTCCTTGGCCCCAGGATCCCCAAACCCCTTCCCAGCTCTCCCAGTTCCCCTTTCATTGTTCCATGATCCCCTCAACCCCCCCAAATCTCTGTGTCCCCCCAGTTCTCCACTCCCTGCATTACCTGACTGTGGCAGTGTCGGAGCCCAGCCCGGGAATCCCCCAGTACATGGAAATTGGGTTTGTGGATGGGATCCCCTTCACGCGCTATGACAGCGAGAGGGGCCGGATGGAGCCACTGACAGAGTGGGTAAAGGATTCAGCTGATCCGGAATATTGGGAGAGGAACACCCAGACTGGTGTGAGGAACCAGCACACGGCTGCCAGGAACCTGGAGACACTGCGGGAGCGGTACAACCAGAGTGGGGGTGAGTGGGGGGAGCTGTGGGGCTGGGATGGGATCAGTGGGGCTGGAATAGGATCTGTGGGGTTGAAATGGGAATTCTAAGTGCTGGGATGGGATGGGATCTGTAGGGCTGGGATGGGGATCCATGGGGCTGAAATGGGATCTATAGGTCTCAGATATGGACTCACAGGGCTCCAAGGGGCTGAAAATGGGGATCCGTTAGGCTGGGATGGGATATTTTGTGACCCAGGGGTTGGGATATTGATCCATGGGGCTGGGATGAGATCAGTGGGGCTGGGTTGGGATCTATGGGGTTGGGATGGAATCTGTGGGGCTGGAATGGCATCTGTGGGGCTATGATTGGATCCATGGGGCTGGGATGTGAAATCATAGGGCTGGGATGGGATCTGTGAGGCTGGGTTGGGATCCATAGGGTTGGGATGGGGATCCATGGGGCTGGAATCGGATCTGTAGAGCTGGGGTGAGGGTCCATGGGGCTGGGATGGGATCTGTAAGACTCAGGTGTGGACTCACGGGGTTCCAAGGAGGTGAAATGAGAATTCATTAGGCTGGGATGGAATATCTCGTGATCCATGGGTTGGGATATGAATCCGTGAGGCTGGGATGGGATTTGTGGGGCTGGGTTTAGATCCATGGGGTTGGGATACAAATCCATGGGGCTGAGATGGGATTTGTGGGGATGGAATAGGAATTGTAGGGCTAGGATGTGATCTATAGGTCTTCAATGTAGACGTACAGGACTCCAGGGGGCTGAAATGGGGATCCATTAGGCTGGGATCGGATATCTTGTGATCCATGGGGCTGGGATGGGATCTGTTGGGCTGGGTTGGGATCCGTGGCGTTGGGATGTGATTCCATGGGGCTCCAAGGGGCTGGGATGAGGCTCTGTGGGTCTCCCTCAGACTCTGGGGCTCCATAGGGCTGGAATGGGGCTCTGTGGGTCTGGGACACAATTCCATGGGTCTCTGTGGGTACAATTCCCCCAGGTCTCCACACGAAGTTGCGAGTTTATGGCTGTGAACTCCTGTCTGATGGGAGCATCGCTGGATCCGAGCGGCACAGCTATGATGGGCGGGATTTCATCTCCTTTGACCTGGAATCCGGGAGATTGGTGGCAGCTGACAGCGCTGCTGAGATCACCAGGAGGCGCTGGGAACAGGATGGGACCGTGGCTGAGCAGTGGACGAATTACCTGAAGCACGAATGCCCAAAATGGCTCCGGAAATACGTTGGATATGGGCAGAAGGAGCTGGAGCGCAAAGGTGGGAGCAGAATTCCTGTGGGGATTTGGGATTTGGG